TTTTGGAATTCTGATGTTGAGAACCACTAGAACAACAATATTTTCTTAATTTTTTCAGTGTTTTTTTCCTCGAAGAAAACTGAAATCTACCAGTAGATGGGTGATTTCACTTGTGTTTGTTAAAAAGCATCCTGTGCACCCCTGCATGGCACAGGCTGGTTTTTGGCTTTCATCCATGTAGCCGGTTGCTGCGGAGGGGCAGAGGTTTCCTGCCGGGGGCTGTGGGAGTGAGTGGCCTCAGCAGGTGCCTGGTCATGAAATGTCTCTCCTGCTTGCCTCCCATTCAGTCTCCAAATGAGTTTTCCAGAGCAGAGAGACATGGAATTAAGTAGGAGGAAACATTCCTGGTTTGGCAATTTTGTAGCTTTCAAGTCTGTAGTGTAAGATCAAGGGAAAAAAGTCTGCTTTTTTGTAGCTCTAGTTCATGATTGACTTAAAAAACCTACCTCATACTATAAATACAGAATTAAAACAGATACATCAAGGATTTGAAGAATATTGGTGGTGCTTAGAGGTTAGTTGGATTGTTAGATTGCCAGTTTTGTAATTTTACTGCTATACTTTTCTCCTGTTGCATTGTTTCCATATGGTGATACATGCACTTTTAATAAAGATATGTTCAGGATCACCATTTTTGCCACATAACTCTGTACTTTATGGGTGTCTGATGCAGGATAATGTCCCTAAGGTTAAATTTGCACTATAAGGAAAAAATGACTTGTACAGGACCAAAAAAAAAAAAAGAAAAAAAAGAAAAAGTGTGGTACAAAAGTAGCAGTGAGATAAATCTGTAGGTGATGATATATAATCTTCAAATGTTTTTTTATATGTATTTTGTATCTGCTGAATATTTTTTTAATCTGGGTGAAAAATAAATAAATTTGGTTTATTTCCATTGTGACAAGAAACATGGTCATAGAAGGGAAAACCCGGACCGGTTTTTGGGCAGAATTCGGAATGGAGTCGGCAAAAGAGAAAACCCGGACCGGATTACAGGTGGAGTTAGGAACGGAGTCGGCTAATCGGCCTATATGCAGTTTTGGGTCAAATGTGTACATAGTTTGGCATATGTAATCTTCGTTATGTATTCCAATTTAGTGTTTGTAGTGGTAATGTATAGTTTAGCCTATAAGCAGTGTCAAAAGGGAGGCTCCCAGGATCTGCAATCTGAAAAAGATCCTTAATTATTTCAAATGCTCTAATTCCTCCTGCTGTGTTCAGTGTAGATGTTTTCTTTCTTTATATAGTTGTGATAATATTCCTCTTGCACTACCCTTTCAGCTTCAGTCCCACTTCAATATCAGTGGTTCAGAAGCTGGGGTATGACTGGTATGACCGATGGTCAAGTGTGTGAGACAGCCCACTTGTCAGACTGGTCATCAGCAAAACAGTGTGATTTATTGTTCAGTGCTTACTTTTGTAGGCAGTTCTAACGCCTCAGGTCTAGACAGCCACTGGTCTAATTTTTATGCCCCTTAGACTTAGAACCAGTGAAATACTTGTACTTTAGGAGAGATGTTATTGGTTGAAACCTCTGTCAGTCAGCCCAGAGGCCAGTTTAGCAAACTGGACTGGGTTTCTTATTTATAACCGTATTAATGCTCAGTAGAAATCAGCTTGTACTGCAACAGCTGACCACTTTCAGGGAATACTCACTCTCTGGCTGAGATTACCTAGGAGTATCAACCTCACCTCTCCTGCTTAGTGACTCAGATCTCTTATTCAGAATCAGTAGGTGTTACTTAGAAGTCTTATCCACTGCGTCTTGATAAGGAGATTACTACTCTGGCATCCCTCTGTGTGTGCATTTCTTGACACTCTTGTCCAGTAATTTGCTTCAATGCGTCTCTGACAGCTTCACCTCTAAGGCATGAGTTCTCTGTCTGTAGAGGAGGACTCTTGGACATAGCTAGGGACTTGTCACACTTCTCAGGATGAAATTCCCTAAAAATAGGTCCTGAGATTTTACTGAAATTATTTTACAGTGGTCTCCCACACGTGCTTGCAAAAAGTTTCATTCCCTTAGGCAACAGTTTAAGAATGACCTCTTGAAAGTTGGTTGCTTGGTTGTGGGTTGTTGTGTGTTGGCCACTAGAATTAAATAGAAATGTTTGCCTTCTTTTTAATTAAGAAATTTGTTTTCATTTACATGCCTAGGGATGGTAAGGCCACCCACCCTTGCATGAAAATAGTTATCCTGAAGCTGGCTTTGGAAGTCTTAGTCCTGAGCAGTGTGTTTGCTTTTTTCTTTTTTCATCACAAATTACAACATGTCAGCATCATGTGCATTTGCACACGTTCTGAGAAAGCTAAATTTTATTGACAAATCACAGTGATCCATTTGACCTTTAGCTTTTAGCACCCCTACGTTCCTTTCCCTTTTCCAGACCTTACTGGCAAATGTCAGCGTGCTATAACATATCGGTTTATGGCAGGATCTGTTTATGGCAGATCCCACCCCTCACCCAAAGGTTTGAGGAGATTTCCTATAAATAGCTATGTTGGTCATAGCTTTCTATATGCTTGTGAGCTTCCCTGATTGGTGTTTTATAGTAATCGGGCCTCTTAACTCACAATTGGTGTATGAACACCCAATTTTGGAAGACTTCTGGCCTTTTTGTTGAAGCCTTTGTAAAAGGATTCACAATACAACTTGAAATTCTTATGACTTTGGCAAGTCAAATATTTTTCTGAAATCAGGGTGTCTCCTTTTTCCTTTGCCTCTTACTTCACTTCCTTGCTCTGCTGACTTTTCCTTGTTAGCACCCTCTGGTTTCAACTCTGGCTAAAATAGCTATGTTGATTCGTAATGCTGAGGGCCTGGCTGCTGTTTTGCATCTGAAGATATGACAAGTCTTCCTTGATCGCAGGCCTCTTCCTTCACCAGGTTAACATCAAACGGGAGAATTTTTATGATTTTGATGAAAATTTTCTCTGTTTTTTATCTGCTCAAGATTGCTGCTGCAATCAGCAAGTATGGAATTGATGCTGAAAAATGCCAGCAGTGATGGCATGTGAAAGTTTTTGGGTTTAGTCTCTATGTTGTCAAATGGCAATATTTTTGGAGTTTTGCATTTGCATATGTCTTGCAACATTACACAGTATTTTTCTCAGGTAAAGTATTTGTCTTCAGATACCATCCAATATCACAGCTGTCATGTATTTCTGATTGCTTGGATTTTAGGAAACCCTTAACCATATCAGGTAGGCTGATGGGACACCTTCCACAGGTTTTCCCTACACATATGCAGAGACTGAGCCCCTCATATTTCATGCATTATTATCTCTTTAGCCACAGACAGTTTTCAAGACGTAACCTCACTCCTCCTGTTGAAGTGAGTGATGTGTAGACTGATGGCTGTACTTTGTAAAGTAACAAAGAACCAAAATGTCTTCGTCCATACTGCATGAACTAAAACAGGGGCAGTTAAAAAACAAAGGAGATGAAAACCTTCCTTTGGTGTACCTTTGAAAAGTCATAGAATCACAGAATTGTGAAGGTTGGCAAAGACCTCTAAGGGTCACCAAGTCCAGTTGTCAAGGTAGCAGCACCACCATGTTAACCACTGAACCATGTCCTCAGGTGCCTTATCTGTGCATATTTGGAACACTTCTAGGGATGGTGAATATATTTTCCTGGGAAAGCCTGTTCCAGTGCTTGACAATGCTTTCCATGAGCAAATTGTTTCTAGTATCCAAACTAAACCTTCTATAGTACAACTTCAGTTTGCTCTCATCCTGCAACTTGTTACCTGGGAGAAGAGATTGACCCCCATGTTACTACACCCTCTTTTCAGGCAGTTGTGGAGAGGGAGGAGGTCTCCCCTGAGCCTCCTTTTCTCCTGGCTGAATATCACCAGCTCTCAAGTCATGTGCTAAAGCACCATTTTAGCTCAAGGAGAATTCTGCTTTTGGAAATGAAGATAAAGTAATTCTGCTGTTTGCAGCACTTCCCTAAAAGCAATGATTTCTTCAAGGAACAGACTCATGCTTGCAGGCAGAGGACAGAGTTGTGAGGTTTTGCATGCACAGCATCAGCAACTACGACATTTCTGCTGTAATATAGGAAATACTTTCAGAAACATAGAGGGAATTTACACCATCCAGGATGGTTTTTCAACCTGCTATAAAACAATTTGAAGATTGAGGATCAGGGATATAAATCAGTGCATAGATCTTACTATGGGTTACTTTAATTTCTGTTTCTGTTCTTAAGAACGAAGGTAGTTGAAATTCAAATGCATCAGGTGAAAAGATTGATTTATTGTTCAGTTGGGGCCAATAGTGTAAATTTTACAGAGGTTTCTGTTGTAATATTGTTTCACTCAAGTGGACCAAAGGCAGTTGAACTGAACTTTGCCCGTGACCTTGATCAAAGAGTTAGACTTCTCAAGAAGCTTTTCTTATCCTGATCTGAATATACTGCAGGTCATTGGGGCCTGTAAACCTACTGAAAGGCAAAACAATGTCCTGCAAGCAGTCTGTCTGTGATGTTGAACTTTTGACTTCTAGTAGCTGTAGAAAAGTCAACTTCACTATTAACAGTCTTCCCTGCAAGTGACCAGTCATTGACAAAAAAATGAACTTTAAATTTTCCACTTAGAAATCTCTTCAGAGTGGAAAAAGCTGGTTTATAGCTCCTCTTGTGAGAAAAATTCATGTGTGAAGAGAAAGGTGGCTGGAACTTGTAGTGCTGGAAACTGAATGCCTGTCCCTGCTTGTGTCTCTTCATGAATGTCCATAGCTTCCAGCCAGTAAAGTAGAAGTGGAGTTTGATTTTTTGAAAAACAGGCTACACTGTGCAGTTCTTTCCTGTCATTGAAGTGAAATAAGAATGAATACCTATAGGTATTGCAGAAATTTTCACAGGACTCGCAAATAAGAAAAGATGTCTTGTTTTTTCTCTTTCCATGAAACAGCACTGTGAATAAAATGAGATTTTGTGTTCAAAAAACGTAAACCATCCAAGTTTCTCATTTACCATTCTTGCAATGTTTCAGCTTAATGACGGTGGCAAGGCAGCCCAGGCACACGTGGGGATTGGTGATGTGGTTCTCACCATTGATGGGATAAGCACGGATGGGATGACTCATCTAGAAGCACAAAACAAGATCAAGGCATGTACAGGCAATTTGAACATGACTCTGCAAAGGTAAGATAGCTTCTTTTTTAAAAAGAATTGATTATCATCCTAACAGTGGTTTGGAGAATATAAAAAATGTGTAAGTGGTTTGGCAAAGTCTATGGAGTTAAATGTCAGTGATTGAAAGATATGCTGCCATAGCCTATTATCTGTCTTGATTTACAGCATTTAAGAAAACTTATTAGATGTTAATTATGTGGCTTGACAAAGACTTCTTCCAGCTTTATGTCACCTATTCTATTTCCTCTTCCATTTGTTTTGTTTAATTAATCTGTTTAAAAGCAGGTCTTATTAATGCTTTTTACCCCCTCTCCCAAGTGACTAGGAACATTATTTTGGGTCGAGGCCTACAGCACCATTCTTACTGGCTAGCAAAATGATGGATTTAAATAGTTAACCCTTGAATTAAATGGATGAAAATACTTCTGCACAGAGTCTGGGAGATGTTTCCACCACAGTGCTACCACAATGTCACTAAGTAGCAGCCTCCCTTTGCTAACTGAAGTGCCTGCTATAGAAGTTATGGCTTGGCCCAATGTCATTACTAAATCATAGACTTTATTGAATCCCAGCATATCTCTGGTATAGCCTGGGGCTGTGTTTTGGGAGTTGTTGCAGGAGAGGAGCAGGATGCTCACATATGGGTTATTGAACATGAAGAAGAATGAGCAGGAGCACAAGCAATTAATTCCTCCCATTCTCAAAAGCCCCTCAGGGCTAAATGTTTTTTTGCTAGAAGACTGCTATTTTGATTCAATGATGTGAGTGAACATATTGGAGGAGATTGGCCTGTGAATCCATCACATAGGGAACAGCATATCTTCTTGTTTCAAAGAAAACTGCAGCACCTGTAGGCCATGATTGCTCTTCAGACCTGCCTTCAGCAGTGCAAAGTTCCTTGATGACATTACCATCTCTCTTCACCAGTTACTGACTGGTTTTTGGGGCAAATTATCCTCCCCTGAATGAACAGACTACATCTTTCAGTGAGTTAATCGGTATTAGAATAAAAAGAGATGATGTGGTTGCAGATCTGACAAACATCCATCTCCAGAGTGGCAGTGCTTGTTCCCAGCCATAAGTGCCATGTATTTGAATGGTTGTGTGAGAGCTCTCTTCTGTAAGAGGCTGCAGCACTCCTTGTTGTTTCTTGTTTTTCCCGTTGTCCTGTGCTTTGGTGCTTAGCTACCCTGACTAAGGGATTCCCTTTGCTCAGTCTGAGGAAAGGACTACCTTGTGGTGTGGTTCATGCCTAGGGCATCTCCCTGAGTGAAACTTGTAAAGGTGGCATTAAAAGTTTCTTGATGAAAGACAGGTATTATACCAGTTCATTAGAAGAATGACATGTTGCATCTAGTGTGTCATTTGCTTTTTTGACTGCCAAGGAGACCAGCAGGTCGCTTAGAAAAGCACTTTCCACTGAGTCACTGCAGCAGGCGGGTGGGTTGGCCCACTTTCTCCTGTCACCATAATTGTATGGGCAGGGTTAATATTGGATATAGGAAAGTCATGGCAGGTGTGTCCCAGTCAGGTAATAACTTGTCTGGTGCTGCTTCTGGTTAGGTACAGAGATGAGTGGTTTGAAAATCAAATTAATCATGAGTTAGCCTGATCCCCTGCTGTTCTCAGCCTTCCTACCTAGTGTAGCATCTGACTCACCACTGTTGGCTGCCTGACAGCTGAAGGCTAAGGCAGGATCAGACTAACAGGGATCAAAGGAATAGCCTTGGTCCTGGCATCTGGGGGTGTGACAGATGTGTCTTGTGCCTCTGCTGCTTTGTAGTCTCATGGTCTAAGCTGTTTTGAATTCTGCCAGTATCCCAAGAAACCAAAGGTGTAGGCAGTGTTCTCCTGGTTCCTCTGCCTGTGAAAATTTCTTTGCCCTGCTGTTTAACAGATCTTCTTTGGTTGTTTATTTGTTCTTTATAGCCTGGATATCTTCTTGGAGTCAGACTAATTCAGTCAGACTAACTAGCTCACTGGAGATGCTGGCTGTCCATGGGAATGGAGCTTGAGAGTATAAACAGGGTGGCAAGATAAGCCATTTTAATACTGAGTGTTCTCCATAATTATATTTTTCTGTTCCTGCCTCTTCTCTCAAAATGAAACAGAAGTAAATAAAATATTTTAAACTGTTACTGGTCACATGCAAGATTAAGGAGATACTGTCAATGTGAAGCAAAGCTGGCCTTCAAAATATGGGTTAGTGCCACAGAATAGGAAAATGTAAGATGTATTTATTTTGCTATTACTGTTTTTTATTTATCTTTCATTTTTACTTCTGAGATTTTATCTACTTTCACACAGTCCACTGATAGTTTGAACTACAATGCAAGGATGTTGAGGTTAGTTTTGAAAGAGTCCATCAATTCTCAGACACTGCCCTGGCTTGCTACTGCTTTAAAAGAACACAATGGTTAGATGGTTAGTGGTGTTACTTTGAGCATGTACTCCAGCACCCCAGTTTGCACAGTGGTCAGGGCATGGTGACACTTCACCTTGTAAAAGTTACAAAGGAAACTTCTGTAGTCTATGACAAAGGCAAGAGACAAAATTCTTTATTATCTGATTCCATATTATAAATATTTTAACTTGATTCTTGACCTATTTAGGTTTTCACTTGGCTTTCTCTCTTCTTCATGTGCAAAGTAGAAAAAATAAAATTAAGAAAAACTAAGCAAGGGGCAAGAATTAGCTTGTCTGGGAGGTTGGAAGGGATAGGTAAAGTATTGCCTTCAAAACCTTAACTTACAGATTTAAAGCAGTGTATTTATGTAGGCAGATATGCAAGTACCCCTTGTGGAAAACCAATTCAGATGTTTTGTAACTTGTAATTGAATGTTGGCAAAATATTTGAAGGGCAAATAAAAGCTTCCCTTTGTTCTGTGTAAGGCAGTATCACAGCTAGGTTTCTAAACATGGAATTATTGTGTGCTCTGGAAAGGAGCTGGAGGTGCAGCTGACACAACTGCAAGTCCACTTTGCTTAGAGGTTGCTCAAGTACAAAAGGACAAAACTGAGCTTTCCCAGCCCTTTGTGCAGTAGTAGTTGCTTAACATTGCATGTGTTGGCAAGTATTTTCAGGTGTATGTCTTTAAAATCAATAGGTTCTGTAAACAAGTCACATTGTTTATTATAGAAGTTATATATTTTTTTTGGTTCTGAAATTAAATTTGGATGTAGGCATGTTATTTGCTCATTTTTCATATTATATTGTAGGCACACACTTTGTGGTAGTTGGGGTAGGGCTGTGGCCAGCCTCATCCCCAGTGGGCTGCAGCTGTGAGAAGCAGGTGAGCAGCACTGACAGCAATGAGCCATGGAGTGCCCAGGGGCACTGACCATCACCAAAGGGAGCAGAGGGCACACAGGTGCCAGGCAGGAACAGGAGGGTATAACAGGTTGGGCTGAAGAACAAGGAGGGCAGATGCTTGAAGCCTTCTGCAGTGGTGTGGTGTTACTCTGTATGAGTTGAGGCCTTCTGGGATTGTCTGGTGATACGTTGTGTATTGTGGCTGTCTCATCTGTGACATGTGCTGTGATGTTATATAGCTCAGAAGTACAGAGTGTGTTTTTTTTCTCTTCTTTTTATTTTGTAACTTGATATTTTAGCTTCTTGATAGATCTCCAATTTTTGTTTCAATTCGTCCTTCCCTTTCTGAGATCTTGCTCTTTTGCACCCCAATATTTCATTTTCATCTGAAGCCATTCCAGTTTCCCATGAGGACAGATGGAAACCAGATGCTTGCTTTTTGGATATATTTTCAAGTTCAGTAACTTAGCATGGACTTTTACAAATAAATCTCTTAAGTTGCTGAACAGCTAAAAGCCACCACCTATTTTTAAAATATTATTTTTGGGGACTGTTTCTCTAGAGATCTGCCTTAATGATTCTTTGGGAGTGAGAAGGATAAAGAATTGTGGATTTCTGCAGATGAATGAGATCATGATATCTGTGAAACTTCTGGAAAAAGTGTCAGCAATGCAGGGATAAAAGTAAAAGAGGAAAGATGGAAAGTCTTGGGCTTTGTTTTTTCTAAAATGATAGAGAACATATTTATCTCTCTGTTTAGTAAAACAGATCTGCATGAGTATAGTTTGATTTGTAAAGGAATTTCTTTCACTTTGTCTATGAATTTACTAATTTAGGACAAAAGGCATTGAGGTTGTTTGCCTTGGGGAGCGAAAGGAGGGTTCTCCAGATTGTTTACTCCTCTACTGCTGTATTGTAGTGCTTCTTTGTTTGGGTGAAAAAAATTGTCTGGGTGCAGTAAGTTGGCAGTGAGCAGTTACTGCAGTTCTGATTCCTGCTCTTCAGTGAAGGAACACAGCTGCTACAAAGCAATAGATGAATTTCAGTGATGGCCATGGGCTTGTTGGGTTTTTTCCTAAATCTTTTTAAAGCATGGGGTTGCCCAAGTGTCATAGGTGAAGCTGGGGCCTTCTGGATATTCTTGATGTCCTACAGGACTCAGAGACAAAATTTAGATGAGCCATAGGGCTGAGTTCTGCAGTTAGTAAACTCAAAAGCCATGATACTTGTTTTAGCTGCCTGCCTGAGTATGAATCTTTATCATACTGTCCTCCCTTATCTTTTTTGTTTTTCTTTCAGGAAGCATGAAGTCTAGGCTTTTAGCTTAAGGGTAGCTGAAATTTGCATGATTTAAGATAGAGTAAACAAGAAAAAAATGTTATGGACCAATTGAATTCTATTTTCTAAGATCTTTTTTCAAGTTAACCAATCGGGAAAGGGTTTTCAGCAGTAAGATTAGCTTAGTATGCTTTTTTCTTACTATTTTTTGTTTAATTTATAGGCGTCACTTTAGATGATGGTTAAAACTCATGTTTCAGTTCTATGAATCATAGGTTCCTTGGGTGGGTATTCTGTTTCCCTAAACCATATATGGATGAGCCTGAAGAAAACTATGATAAGAATGCATTCTGAAGTCTTATATTTTTCTCCCAACTTTAGTCATCATCTTTTTCCTTACATAGGTATTTTGACTTCA